TTTTATGAATAATTGGGATTCCTAGGTATTTACCTAGGTCATCAGTCTTTGTAAGGCCACTTCTTCTACTAAGGTTCTTGGCTCTACTACTACAAATGTTAGGTGAAAAGTACACTCTAGGATTTAGACAGACTAACTTTTTGTCATGAGATTGTAAAAAACTCTTCTAAAACATCCTTAATCATGTCACAATCCCTTTCAGAAGCCTTGGAGAACATAATAATATCATCCACAAAAAGGAGGTGAGCGATAGAGGGACCATTTTTGAAAGCTTTAATTCATTTCCACAGTTTATCTTCCACTTTCTTACAAAGTACCCTAAGAATTTTTCAGACTTTGGGGTCTGTTTTGCTTTCTTCTAATTACTGTGGACACATGGAAAAATTTTGTATTTCTATCCCCAAGTTTGATCTATTTGGACCTTGATTTTTGATGCCAAAGAATTTCTTCTTGTTCCAGAATCTGGTCATATTCAATAAGGAGTTGCTCTTCAAGTCTCTCAAGGTTATGGGTGTGATTTATCTCTTGTGCATTTTGAATGCCTTCTAATCTAGCTAAGACTCTTCTTTTCATTTGGAATATGTTTCCAAAGGATGTTGAATTCCATTCCTTTGCGTTTTTGATAATTTTAGCAGAAGCTTGGATAAGGGAGTTATTACATTTGGTTCCATGTTTCAATAACCACATTTTTAAAACCAGGTCTTGTTAACTAGACAACTTCCATTCTAAAGGTCTAGAGAAAGACGGGGTAGGAGAGTTACCGTTTACTTGAATGAGGAGTGGGCAATGGTTTGAGTAAGTCTTGGGGAGATTACGGACACTTGCTTCTAGGAATTGCATGGTCCATTATGTGTTCACCAAGGCTCTGTCTAGCCTAATTTTGGTGTTTGCTAGTCCTTTTCATTTGTTATTCCAAATGAGTTTTGTCCTGTTGCACCCTAGGTCAATTAGTCCACATTTGTTGATTCTTTCTCTAAATTTTCTAGTTTTGTTGTTGTGATCTGCATGTCTTCCTCTGCTTTCTAAGTTACTAGAGAAGTCATTGAGATCCCCAGTGGCCATCCATCCATGGGAATAGTTATCTCCAATTTGACTAAGATTATCCCAAAGTTGATCTCTATTGGAGGGGTTTGGGTTTCCATAAATTGAAAAAGAAGAGTCATTCATCAAAATCAAGTCGAGAAATGTGAGAACGAATGGCTTGAGCAGTTGATTGATATTTTTTCGGACATAGTCAAACAAAATTGAGAGAAAAGTTTCCTAGTTGAGAGCTAGGAACTTTAGTTCCCATAAGCACCACAATTTCTAGATTATGGGATCTGAACAAATCTTCGAAGGCTCTTTGGAATCTCTCATTGCCAGCTACTCTACAATTCCAGGACAAAAATCTTCATGGAATGCATCATAAGAAAAAGAGGGAGTTGGGAGTCTTCATTCAAGCCCAGGATGACCCTTATCTAGTTCAGCCTCTCCATAAAGGGAACTAATAATGTCACTGATACTACTGTGAGTTTGTTTATGATATTCCTGAGTGAGCAAGACTGTATTTCTAGTGATATTTCCTTGATCACCCAGTTGGTATTCACAAGCCATTTGCTCAACTCCGTCGCTCTGAACAATAGGTCTATTGGAGTCAAATCTAGGTTGAAAAATCTCAGTGGATTCACCTCCATTAATGTCTAGTGGCTTAGGTATCTTAAGGGTTTCAGGGG